TGCGATCTTGTGGAATACAGCAGGACAAACTCGCCTGCGTTGTGCCTCATTTCTTCTTGTCCCCAGAAAAGACTGGTCAGGTGTCTGTGAAGTGGTTGGGTCGAGTTGGACTCCCTGGTGTTCCTTTGTGGGAGAGGGGAAGTTTTTAAGGAAGAACATCGTGCTTTAGAATAATGGCCTCTCAACTGTCTTTTAAGAACAAATCAACGAATTCCAGACAGTTTTCTGTTTGGAGAAGGAGTTTGGCGCTTGGGACATCAGCAGGTGTGAAGTGTAGCCAAAATTCATCATGTTTCTGGTGTTCTTTCAGGTTGACCTGGCTGTAGGAATGAGTTGTAATTCTCTAAGTGAGTGTAATAGGTTTCTTACAAAGTTTTGGGAGCTAGAGCACAGACTCCAGAGAGCTCTCCTGACTTTCCCTGATAAATGGCTTTGTTAGGTGCCATTGGCCTCCACCTTTTGTTTGCTTCCACTAGTAATTATGCAAAAAACATCTTGGACACTGAGAGAAACCTCTCTGTTTCCAGACAGAGCTGTCTGCCTGTTGTCTATAACATGAGCCAGAGGGAGATCAGTTAGTCTGCAGGACCATCTGGCCACTTCCAGTATCACAGTACCCTGAGCATCCTCTTGACTGTGCAAACGCGTTCAGGTTTTTTTCGCTAAGGTTAAGCCATGGGACGCGCTGGGGCAGATAAAGGACACCAAGACCACACAAGATGTAGCAAATCTACAGCATGGTTTGTTCTGTACCTCCATGCAGCACGGGGTAAAGTGCTTCCCGGCTGCTGGTACCCAAAGAGATTAGATGTGATTTGTTGAATTATAGAGTCATAGAATCATAGCATGGTTTGGGTTGGAAGGGACCTTTAGAGGTCATCTAGTCTGACTCCCCTGCAGCGAGCAGGGACAGCTTTAACCAGAGCAGGGTGCTCAGAGCCCTGTCCATAGAATCATAGAATCATAGAATGCTCTGGGTTGGAAGGGCCCTTTAGAGCCCACCCAGCCCAGCCCCTGCAGTGCCAGGGGCAGCTTCAAA